TGCAGCCCGCTGGGGGAGCTGCCACCCAGCCAACAGCCTCACTGAGGAGCTTGCTTCAAACTAAATCTCCAATTTTATTTCCCACCACTCACCTTGGAACACTTATGCTGCCTTCATCTCCCTAAACACAGCCAGTGTTTTAAACATTAAAAGTCTAAGCCTTATTCATGCTCTGCTCCTGTCTGGAATGGCAAGTGTCCCCAGCCCCAATCTTCTTCCATCAAGGTCCAGTTCAATGCCACCTCTTCCATGAAGCCTCCCCAGATCATGCTGGCTAGTAGTTAGTCTGGTCCCCATACGTTTGGTCTCTGTGCCCATGACTCCTCTCTCCTATTATACTGAGCTCCCTGTGAGCAGAGACCATGTCTCCATCACTTACTCACTCACTCAATGAGCAGCCTCTGAGAACCAGGAACCCACACGCTGATGATTTCACAGCAACAAATGAGTTGTAGCCCCTGCCCATCATGGGAGACAGACGTCCCGAAGGGGTAAGTGGTGGGAAGAGAGGAAGCCCTTACCCAGTGTGGACAGGACCAGCTTTGTGGCACCCAACTTCCAGTTTGTCACACACAGGTACTAAGTGTGACCAGTGTGAGCGAAGGAGGGAAAGCCATGGGGCCCCAGCTGCCAGAGAGGAAGGAGAACCCAAAGGTGCAGGTTTAGCACCAAGAATAGTCACCCTCGAGCACTGACCTGAATTGGGAGCAAGTGCTGTCTGGACTATGGATGCCGCCACAGACAACTGCTCCCCAGGGGGAGGGATCAGGGTGGAGGTTTTCCCCCCTGGGGGAGGGGGAAGCAGGCTCAGTCCTCCTGTGCTGGCGGGCCGGGCTCGGGGAGGCCCAGCTGCTCCTTCCTTCTTCTTCATGTTCTAAAGACAGGGCAGGAATGAGAATCAGTCAGTTCTGCTGGAGCGCCTCTGCGATCAGAAAACTTCAAGAGGAGGCCCAAGGTGACCCCTGGGCCCCAAACGTCCGTATCACCAAAAGATGGTCAAGAGCCATCCATCCAACACTTCCATTGTTATGGGGTGTATTCAATGCATCACAATTCTAAAGCTATCACAAACGCTTTTAATTTAAAAACTCAGCACCCGACTTCATTAATCATCAGGGAAATGCAAATCAAACTACAATGATATACTATTACACACCCACCAGGATGGCTAAGATGTAGCATATCAAGCACTGACAAGGGTATGGAGCAACCGGAACACTCATATTCTGCTGGTGGAAGTGTAACCAGAGAAAACCACGTTGAAAAACTGAAAGAATCTTTAAAGCTGAACGTATGAACCGACGCCCCTGCCATTCTACTCCTACATGGACCCAACAGAAAAGCATACACGTGTGCACACATCTGAACATTCACAGCAGAACTACTTGCATAGCCCCAAAATGGAAACTACCTAAATGTCCACCATCAGTTAAATGGGTAGATATTGGGATACATTCTCATAACAGAGCATGCCACAACGAGAATAAAGCAACTACACAAAACAATATGGATGCTCTCACAAATACTACACTGAGTAAAGGAAAGGAGTCATACACAAAAGGGTATGAAGTGTATGAGTCAATTAATAAAACATTGAAAACAAAACCTAGGGTGTTCAAAGTCAGCACAGTGGCCACTCCATCCTGTGGGAGAGAGCAGGAGAGCGGCTTCCAGAGTGCTGATAATCGCCCACTTTCTTGATCTGGGGGCTAGTTTGTAGGGGTAAACCTGGTTTTTAAAAATTCACTGAGTTCTACATTTATAACGTGTATACTTTTCTGTGCGCATATTATACTTTGACAAAACATTTAAAAAAGAAGAACAAAAACCTGAACACCCAGGTGAACCAGAAAGCAGAGCAGCTCAAAGGTGAAGACGACGCGGTTCCCACCTTGTCAGGAGAGCAGCAGCTTAATCACGGGCTGAGACCACAGCCTGAAGGCAAAAGCGCTCAAAGACCTGGGCATGAGCCCAGCTGTGCCAGTTATTTCTAGCTCTACGACCCTGGGCAAGACCCTCAAGCTCTCTAAACCTCAATTTCCCCACCTATAAAAGGGGAGGATGTTTAATTCACACGAGAAGTACCTAAAAACACTACCTGGCACACAGCTGATGCTCATTAAATGTTAGTTTCCTCCCAGCAAGATAGAGATTCACATCCCCAACAGTTCACTGGACATGACCTGGATTTTCTCTTAAGGGCCAGCTGGCCAACTTCAAGGGTCCCAAACCATCACCAGCATGAAGCAGAAAAGAGGAGAAAGAGATAGTAAGTAAAGAGGAAGAGCG